TGTCAGTGGGGGCACTGGCCTGGGGATCTTTTCCAGTTTGAATGATCTTGTCTTCCATAATTATCCTCGAAGAAACTGGACATATGTATGTTGATGGGCAGGGTCTTTGACTCACTATTTGCTGTGAAACAATGAAAACTGTTTTCAGATATTTTTTTTTCTTCCCATGACTGAACAGTGAAGAGTCTTTAATCCATCAGCAGTGGCTGTTTCTCAGCTGTTTTCCTTGGAGGGAGCATTGATTTTTTTTTTTTTTAACATTCTGACACCTTTCCTTGACACAATATCAGTACTGCTCCTGAACTACATAATACAGTGATAAGAGCTGAAATTACTCATTGACATTATCATGGGACTATTTTAGAAAACATTATCTCATGTTCATTTCCTAGAATATCATCAAGTCTCTACAATGTCCATTCCTTAAAAGAGCGTGGTGTTTTTGATACAACTGTGGTCTGTGAATTGGGTCAATACTGTAACTTCCTTTTCTGATACTGTGGCCCAAAGTACAGATTTGAACAAACTCTTTGCCCTAGCAGAATCTGATAGAGTTTGCTAAATTTGAAGTTAGCTATTTCTAATAATTTATCTTTACTCTTTATGTAGCTTATCTACATTGTAGATTACTTAAGGCATATTTCAAATAATCAGACACTGCTCTTGTCTGACTTTGAATCCTTATTCATGAGACCAGGTGAAATGAGCATTCATTAGTATTTTTATGAAAGGATGTTTTTAAAAACTTCTAATGAGCTCTGGTTTTCTTTGCCTTTTTGGGTTTATCATTCATACATTCACTTATCCAAAACATTTAATTCACTTGTCCATTGTTATTTAAACCACTTATATACAAAGCTAATTTTAGGCAGCCTCCCTAAATAAGGCTAAAGCAATATTGGTTAAGGGCGAAGAGAGTGAGCAGTGTTTTATGATAGCTAAAGGCAGAAGCACACACAGTAAGATAATTTGGAGCTTCAGGGAAGTCCAGGGGCTTGGTGGCTTAGATTTCATCCTCAGAACTTGATTCTGTAACAGTCCTGACCCTACTGCCTGAGTCATGAGCATTAGAATAGACCACACCATCAGCCAGGTGCCATGAAAAAGAGTTTGTTAAGACGAAAAAGCAGGATGGCTGTATACATACATACATACATACAGCCATACATTCATTAGCATGACTCCCAGGACAGAATCTTTTAGGCCTGCTAATTACTTTTTGAGTGAATAATGCATGTGAGAAAATACAGGTAAGGATGTTGCTAGACCATTGTTACCCAATGAGTACAATTTCTTTCAAAGTAGATGGAGACTGAGACCAGCTAAATAATGAATTTACATAAAGGGTCACATGAGGCTGCTACACAGAAACTTTAGCAATAAGCAATCCTGCAAACTCTTGACCTTTTCAGCTACAGCCTTTCTTCCTGTATTTCTGTGGAATAACACCTTGTATATAGTAATCAAGATTTTGCTTAATATAACACATTTTTTTCCTTTTAAAATTATCTTTGTATATAAAGCAGTGCTTTTAAAATTTATGCGAGGGTGGTGCCTTGGAAGCTACATTTCTCTGCTGCTTTTCAGGTCATCCTTTTTGACAGAGGAATAATATGATGAAGGTGTATGCCTGTGTCCTGCCACTCCAGTCGTGTCCTACTCTTTTCAACTCCATGGACTGTAGCCCATCAGGCTCCTCTGTCCATGGGATTTCCCAGGCAAGAATACTGGCATGGGTTGCTATTTCCTCCTCCAGGGGATCGGCCCAACCCAGGGATCGAAACTGCATCTCTTGCATATCCGCATTAGCAGGTGGATTCTTGACTACTGTGCCACCTGGGAAGCCCTAATAACATGACTGGTAAAATAAGCAAAAGGTAATGATTTTAATTTCAGAAGAACCTGACAACCTCCTGGGCTTTCGCCAGCCCCTCAGAACATCTACTTTTTCCTTGAACAATGATGCCAGGGCTGGGAGATGAGTGGGCCGTTTACTTATGGGAGGGGCCATGGTGGAAAGTCAACTGGAAGCTGGCAATGCTGGTTACAGAAAAGATGACTTGGAAAAGGAGTGAAAATGAACAGGTAAGGACCCTTGACTCTGGAGAGTCAGCTGGCTGGGAGATTGGTGGATGGCGAGCTAAAAAGTGTAGCCACTCTGAGACTGAGGTTCAGGATTAGCAAAGAACAGCATGTATTCTTTGGCCAAGGACCAGGTTGTTTACACAGTGAGTGAAGCTGTTCCATTTACTGCGTGTGCATTCATGGAGTCTAGGGGGGTGTGTGTGTGTTAGGGCTGGAGACTGAAGCAGACTGGAGGAAGCAAAGTTTCCATCTAATCAAGTCAGCTGCTCATCCTTCGCGCCAGCTGACTGTTGCATGTCAACCTAATGTCAGTTTTCCCAAGAAATAGGCAATCTGATATCTCAGAATAATCAAAGGTAGCATTAAAACAATTATGTGAATCAAACTGAGAATGTCTATGGGCTTACAGGACCCTCTGGTCACCAGCGGGTCACCTTTCTTCTAAGCTGATTTCAGAATTACATGCTGCCTGTGGAAACTTGTGCTAATGTGAACTGGGTAACCTGGATACCTGCACCTGAATAATGATTCCAAGAAGGTTTAGCCCATTGGGTTGTTTAATTCAGAGTTTATGGCATCCTTTAGTGGGGGACATGCTACCTCATTGGTCCCTGCACCAATGATCTTCACTGTTAATAGTCCCTACTCACGCGAACATCTTGGGGTCATGTCCAATATTAGGATTATCAGAGGTCTCAGACGAGCCTGAAGGTCTAAAAGGAGGGCTTCCCTGGTGGCTCAGTGGTAAAGAATCTGCCTGCCAAGCAGGAGACTTCGGTTTGATCCCTGGGACAGGAAGATTCCCCTGGAGAAGGAAATGGCAGCCCACACCAGTATTTTTGCCTGGAGAATCCCATGGACAGAGGAGCCTGGTGTAGAACAGTCCACGAACATCTTACAGAGGCTTTATGATCTAGAGTGATTGAGTGTGTGTGTGTGTGTGTGTGTGGCAGTTTACAGGGAGAGGAGCTGGGGGGAAGACCCCCAGAAAGTGACCATGGACTCCTGGGGCCATTCTCACTGTTGATAGTGGCTCCAGGGGCTGACTAGAGTCTCCTCCTCTGATTGTGAGCCTCGAGGGTTTCAGAAGGAGCTTGAGCCTTCTTTCCTTCCTGGTACCTCAAGGATTGAGGGGTTGAGTTAGAAACAAACATTTTAGTCAAACATCCTAAGGATTAAATACTGATTTTATATTTTGATTAGCAGTGTTATATGTGCATTTCATCTGTTGGAAAAAATAAGTCCAATGATGTGTCAATGTAGGTTCATCAGTTGTGACTAACATACCCCCTTGTGTAGGGATGCTAATAATGGGGGAGGCTGTATGTGTGGGGAAGGGGGTACACAGGAAAAGCTGTGTACTCTATTGAAATTTACTGAGAACTTAAAACTGCTCTAAAAGACAAAATCTATTAAAAAAAATAAGCAAACCTTCTTCTAGCTCCCTTTCAACTCCTGGTGTCCTATTTATGTTGAAAAAACTTTGAGACCCCTATTCTGGAAGGAGTATGCTGACTTATTCCTTTCCTCCTTTTTCCCTCCTTTTCCCTTTCCCTCCCACCTGTTTATAGAGCTGCTGACTTTGAAATCTGCCACCCTCTCTCTGAGGTTCGCTTACGCTCAGAGGAGTTGCTGGTACGTAACCTATGGATAATACATTTCATTGACTGAGGAAAGGAAAGAATGACCCTGACTTGGAAGTCATGAGCTTTGGTGTGACATTAGCCTCTGTTCCAAACTCAAGGGACATTTGTCATGTGTTAGAACTCTGTCAATTTGGAGACTTTTCACCCACACTTATTTGTTAGGAGTTACGATGATTCCTATTTTCAGAACAGGATGTTATAAATGGAAAATAACTTTAGACAGCTAATCAACCACTGGCATCTTTTAGATGACATTGCATGTGGCCGTGCTCCTGTGTGTTTGAAGAAAGAGAGGTTAAGAGAAATTTACTGATGTGTTCAGTTACAAAGGGCTTCCTAGGTGGCTCAGTGGTAAAGAATCCGCCTGCCAATGCAGGAGACAGGGGTTCGATCTCTGGGTTGGGAAGATCCCCTGGAGAAGGAACCCACTCCAGTATTCTTGCCTGCAGAGTCTCATGAAGAGAGGAGCCTGGCAGCTTCAGCCAGTGGGGTCACAAAGGATGGGACACGACTGAGCACACATACATTACATTCCCTCAGTTACAAGGCTGGTCGAGGGCAAGGTGGATCATTCAAGGCCCAGTTCTTTGATTCTTAGTAGCACATGTGTGACATGGCTATTTTCAGAGGAGACCTAACCTAGGCAGATGCTCCAGGAGGTAACAGATGCCATGTTGGGAATATGGAGGTAACTTGCAACGTTTCCTTATCATCAAGCTAACTTCTACTACAGAGAATTTGTTATTTCCAGGGAGGGCACCATAGCTTCATTTTGATCCGGAGCTAAAGTTTTTTCCCCTATACTATTGTTTGTTTATTTGTTTTTGGCTGTGCTGGGTCTTTGTTGCTGGGCACAATTTTCTCTAGTTGTGGTGAGCAGAGGTTACTCTGATTGTGGTGCATGGGCTTCTCACTGCAGTGGCTTTGCCTGCTGCAGAGCATGGGTTCATGGGTTTGATCCCTGGGTGGGGAAGATCCCCTGGAGGAGGGGTATTCTTGTCTGGGAAATCCCGTGGACAGAGGAGCCTGGTGGGCCATAGTCCATGGGGTCGCAAACAGTGGGACACAACTGGAGTGACTGAACATGCACGCGTATATATATTTTCCACTTAGCTTGCTGACGTCAAGGAATTCTGAATATGATCTTCTGTAAATTCAGATTCCTGCTGGTAGAGGAACCTATCGAACATTACAATTTGTCTGCAATCAGAAGGGGTGTGAGTGCAAACCCTCCTCTGAGACGCATCTCAAGTCGAGCACTTTTCTCACCATTGGCTTGGAAACCCCTCCGACCTGGTGGTGAGAGTGTGCTGGCATGCAAGCTGACAACAGAAGCAGAGCGGGCAATCGGTTGAAGTGAGATCTTCAGGAGCATCAAGGTGTCATTAAGAGAAGACTGGAATTAAATGGAGAGATTGAGTTCACTTTATGTTTATTTCTCTAGAAAATATTTGTAGTTTTTGCTTGCCGTCCTTGCTAAATTACTGTTTTCCTGGCTGCCTCCTGGCTCTCCCCACCCCTTCCCTGATCATTGTAGAGTGGTTTTGGGAAAGACTAATGTTAGCTATTGGTGCTTTTGGACATTTGGATTGATTGAAGAACAGAGGCAGAAACCGAGCCAATGAGGTGGGTGATCCATAAAATGATTTAATAAATGGGAAATCCATAGGGTCTATTTTAGACAAAATACTAATAGCTGAGTAGGCCTCACGCCTTTTACTGATTACTCTTTATTGCTTCCGGAAAAGCACTGAGGATGCACTTTACACTTTAGTCTAAATTACACTGAAAGTGAAAGTTGCTTAGTCATATCCGACTCTGTGACTCCATGGATTATAAAGTCCATGGAATTCTCCAGGCCAGAATACTGGAGTAGGTAGCCTTTCCCTTCTCCAGGGGATCTTCCCAAACCAGGGATCGAACCCAGGTCTCCCACATTGCAGGCAGATTCTTTACCAGCTGAGCCACAAGTTACATTAGGTCTATTTTATTTTTTGCCTTTTAAGAAAGAAGCCACACTCAAATAAAACTTTTAAAAAGCCTCTGATTTGACCAACCTCCCCCCCCCTCCCAAAAAAAAACCCAGAAAGAAAGAAAAAGAACTAGCTAAGAATCCAGATATATTTGTTTCCATGTGGCTGTGAAGGTTCCACTGAAAAGATATAGAGAAAAATTTTCTGGGTTTAACTGATTGAGATCTGATTAGATCTCAGCATTAGTATTTTCCCTCCCTCCCTCTCAACCTTCATTTGTTTTTTTGTTCTTTCCTTCCCTCCTTCCTTTTCTTCTCCTTACCCTTCTTCTTGTTTCTTTCCTCCCTTCTTTGCTGACAAGAAAGGAAATGGAAAGAGAAAGATGACACTGGGAAACTGAGGCTTCATAAACCCTTTATTCCTGTCAGGATAAAAAATAAATTACAATTAATCAATTGTAAAATTTAGACTCATAAATGGAAAGAGTTTCCCTCCTCGGCCTTTTGTCAGATGAGTGAGTACGGGTTGGCCAGAGGAATCTTCTGGTGCTTCAGACCAGACCTCCCTTCTGGGGCTGCTCCTCGCCCAGCGCCCTGGTGGAAGAGGAGGCGGCTGCAGCCTGGCTGCTCCCGCAGCCCCAGCGGCGTGCAGAGGGTCTGCCTGCGGTGGTGACAGGCAGCATAGGGTCCTGTCACCTCCCTCCCCTGCCTCCCCCGCCACAAGCCGCCCTGGGAGCACCTGGTCCATGGAAGGAACTCGGAATCTGAGGGTGGAACGAAGCATCATCATGAGATGCCTTCTGAGAGTGTGGAGCCATCTTCTCAATATCCCTGAGTTGTCAGCAGGCATTTATGGTTTGTACTATTATTGTTCAAATTCTCCTCACCCCTTTCCACTTCTCTTATCCTGAAAACATAACAGTGCATTTCAGAAAATATGTGGCCATTGATGCTTTGAGAGAGGAGGCATTAGGCATTAGAGACATAGAAAGGAGATTTTTAATAGTTTTTCTCTGGATATAATTTAAATCAAGATTTTAAAAAATGGTTAGTCTCAACCCCTTAGTGCATCAGCATAGGGAGCAGCTTTTTTTGAAAAAGGAAAACCTGGATAGGCATGAGCCCGGTGAGCGCTGTTTCATAAAACATCTGCTTCAGTCACACACATGTGAGTGCGTTTCTTACAATAGGTCCCTAGAGTTTGAAGGCATTCATGTTAAGTCCCTCAGTTAACCTCTGAGCTTGCATTTCCAGAGAAACACTTCACCTGACCGGAAGTAAAATCTTAACAAATGACACAGATAAGTAAGTAGTTTAAATATCTATTTGTTGTTGTTCAGTCGCTAAGTTGTGTCCGACTCTTTGCGACTCCATGGACTTCAGCATAGAGTCTATGGATCGCAGCACACCAGGTTTCCTGTCCTTCACTATCTCCTGGAATTTGCTCAGACTCATTCATGTCCATTGGGCTTCCCTGGCGGCTCAGAAAGGAAAGAATCTGCTTGCAATGTGGGAAACCTGGCTCGATCCCTGGGTTGGGAAGATCCCCCAGAGAAGGAAATGACCACCCACTCCAGTATTCTTGCCTGGAGAATCCCATGGACAGAGGAGCCTGGCAGGCTACAGTCCACGCGGTTCCAAAGAGTCGGACACGACTGAGCGACCAACACTGAAGTGTTAGTCCTGGAACAGACTCCGTTTTGTCTGGATCAGGACCTTCAGTTGTGTTGGATACACATGTCTGGAGGCAGAACAGAATTTAAAAGTGTAAGACTGAAGCTCCCGGTGACATCCTCTGTTCCTGTCACAGCCAATTGAACAACTCGTTTGCAGTCATGATGGGTGACCCCCTGATGTGCTTACCTGGTAAGCAGGTTACCTGAATGGGGTCTCTGCAGACCCCCTCGGATTCTGGAGTGGGGTTGCGTCATAGGACACGCACGCCAGGCTGGTGGTCACCAAGGAGGGGAGGAGGCAGAAGCATGCCTGGTTGAGCTGGGAAGCCTATCTCAGCTTGCTGCTTCGGACATGAAGCTGGTGCTGGACAGGCTGTGAGTTACCCAGACATGGTCGCCCCATTTTGGATTTGTGGTTCCCAGACCCTCGTTGCTCTTCAGCCTGACGAGGATGGGGGTTCCCCTTGCTCCCTGTAGGCATTCTGCCCTCTCTTGTATGGGGAAGGCCGAAGAAGGCAACTGATTTATAGACTCCTTTTAGGGAAAAAAGCAAACAAAACAAAACAAAACCCTAGCAAAACTTAAACTCTACTTTTCCATCTGAACCTGGTTTTGCATTTCCTAGAAACTGCTTTGGAAATTCCTCCTGTGGTTAAAGGGATCATCTTTAGACAGGTCAGTGGGTAAAGCTCATCGAAGCTGTTTGAATTTGCATTCTGTCTGACAACTAACACACTTTCCCCATCTCTGACAGTACAATGGTTCCCTAGACGCAGGAGTCGGCAGATGGCTCATGGTAATAGATCAATGTTCCATTTAGAAAATGATCTTTTAATTTTGTCCTTGTTCTCCCCACCCCCTACTATTATTTGAGAGGTCAGGGAGGGACCAAAGACACGTGAAGGGAAGGCTGTGGCCTGCTAACGATCTCCCCGAAGCCCAGTGAGCGACAGGGCGTCCAGCATGCCCAGTCTGGATCCCTTGAATATGCTGTCTGCCAGTCAGTTCTAAAAAGAAAAAAAAGGTCAGCTGACATCTCATTGTGTCACATCTCATGTGACATCGCATTCACTTCAAGGGTGGACAGCAGAGACAAGGCTTTGACAGGACAATGCCTCCTGTCCTCTGTCCTCAGGGTCTCAGCCTTTATTCCAGGACCTTTTGAACTAATGGATAGTGAGAAAATGGGAAAGAGGAGGTGCGCTGAATGGTACTTTTCGCTCAGTGGAAGAGACTGGAGGCTCGTGCAGGAGGTTGGGCTGGCCCACCAATGTCTCATTGCTAACTTGCTGCACCATCTAAGCCTGCTGTCCTCTTGTCATCCTGTGATATCTGCTCATTAACCCAGCTGCCCGGGGACTGTGCTGCAAGGATGAGAGGCTAAAACTTCACGAAATGAGAGCAAAATGGGTGCAGGTGGGCAGAATGTGCACACTTCTGGTCATGAGACAGATGAGTCCTGGGGGTGTGATGTAGAGCATGGTGACTATTTTAAACAAAGAAACCAAGCCCCATGGGTGAGCCTCTCCATGAGAGAGTAGACACATCTGACTCTGTTTAATGAGAGAGGTTAGCCCCTCTTTGTCCCTCACATGGAAAGGAGGGCATCCTTCCTGCTCTCCGCTTTCCAGCGACTGCATTCTAGTCATGTGATTTCACAGGGGGTTTGTCTAGTCAAGTAGTTCCCGATCCCGGTTACTGGGGGTGATTGAAACTTGATTGTATGTCTGCTGATTACATTGCTTACTTCCTAGTCTCAAAGTAAGAGCAGTTGCTCACATTCCACACTTGGGCCAGGAAGTAACATGCTAGGATTCAAATTGTGTGGGAGGCTTTCTCCCACGACCTTTCCCATTACCCAAGTCACAGTGCCTGAAATTAGAGTTACTCATTTGGCCTAAAGCTCAGCTTTATTTTTCCCAACGAGAGGTAATACCATAACAATTTTTAAGAGTTTTTCACTTTTCTTCATTTTTGAAATTAGTATGCATATAGTGTTTTTTTTACCAACCAAATGTTATTAAGTTTATAATGCATTTTCAGTGGATAGGAGCTTAGAATGTTGTAAATGTGGCATATCAGCAGTTATTAGTCATATCTAAGCATTCCCTGGTGGCTCAGCAGGTGAAGAATCTCCTGCAATGCAGGACACCCAGAGTCACAGGTTTGATCCCTGGGCTAGGAGGATTCCCCTGGAGGAGGAAAATGACAACCCACTCCAGTATTCTTCACTGAAAAATCCCATGGACAAGGGAGCCTGGTGGGCTACGGTCCAAAGTTGTTGCAAAGAGTTGTACACGACTGAGCGACTAAGCACATCATGAATTATTTCAGAATTTTTGTTCCTAGAAAGTTAAGCTGAGAAAAGTGCTTTGTGGAATTAGGAATGGTGATATATATATTTTTTAATGTATTTATTTTTTAATTGAAGGATAATTGCTTTACAGAATTTTGTTGTTTTCTGTCAAACCTCAACATGAATCAGCCATAGGTAAACATATGTCCCCTCCCTATATACTTCTTAAATTAATATCTATTAAGGCCTTGCAATGTTCTCGGCTCTGCTTTTACTAACATGATCTCACTTAATCTTTCAAACAATCCTATAAGGCACAGTTTATCTTTTATTATTACTCATTATTATTATAGAATTTGGGCTCAAATAATTTGAATGAATTCCATTTATATATGTAACAAATATTCATCGAGCATCTATTAGGTGCCAGGCATCCTTTTCAGTACTAAGAATTCAGAGATGAATAAGGCGGGTACTGTCTCCACTCTTGGGAAGCTGATGTGATAAACTAGCAAACCAATACATGAAATAATTTCAAATATTAACTGCGATGAGGAAGACAAAACACATTGCATCTGGGAATCAGTGAGTGTGAAGGTAGGTGGAAGGAGCAGCAGGTATAGAACAATGAAGATTTGCTTATGGTTTTGTGACTTTTCAAGGTCACTCAACTAGTGAGAGGCTCTAGGTTTTAGTCCATTTCTGGGATAGCAAGCGGCAGTGGCTGTGCATGAAAAGTTTTGCTACTTTATAGTGAAGCCAGGAGAGTTACTGGAGCGTGTTGAAACAGTTTTTGCAAACTGGAATGGTGCCAGGACACCTGGTCTTGGGGTCCACCCCCTCCCCCTGTTGGAACATTACAGACTTCAGAGGAAGTATTTGTTGTCATCATCTCTGGAAATGGGATTGTTCTTTGATGTTTTCTCATTCTGTTTGCCTGACAACCACACCAGAATGAGACTTTTTCAAGGCCTCCCTTGCCTAATGAACTGGAGGCCTTGGAAAAATCTGCCAAATAATAGAAATATTTCTCTTTCAGCTTAACTGCTGACCCAGACTAGTCAGAGAAATGGCCTTTCAAAGGATAAATCTATGAAATTCCATTTCTGGGGGCAAGTGCCTTGATTTGCATGGAGCATTGTTGTAAATGTCAACTGTCCGGCTCCCACTGTCAGCTTGAATGGCCATCAGTGTTAACCCTCCCAAGAAAACTGCACCGTCTTACTCAGCACACATCGCAAGATGTGAGGCCATACTGTTCCTTGTTAATGACAATCCTGCCCCTCTTATCTGTCCTCCTTCCTTTTGCTCCTGTGAGCTGCTTCCAAATGTCCCCAAGTTATGATGAAACGCTGACTTCACTTAGCTGGGCTCTTGGTTTTCCTGGGCCGCTCTGCGGAGCCGGCCTTCCCATGACCCATCCTGTGAAAGCCTGGGCGGGTAGCAAAACGCGAGCTGGTGAGTGCCTGTGAGCCAGCTGAAGAGACTGAACAAAAGGACAAACTGCGGCGGTTTCCTTACCTTGCAACGGGAAGCAGATGGAAAGAGCCCAGGGCACAAAACCATTCCGAGTGAATAATACTGGAATGCAATGTGCGGTCCTGCTTACCACTGTATCCCCAAGACCTAGAACATAGTGGGTGCCGAGTAAACACTTGGTGGATGCCGATCGTGGCAAGCCGTCTCTACGGCCCTAGCCATCCTCCCCACGGCCTCCCCGTGCCCTTCTCACTGACTGCCGCGGGGCTTCGGCCGGTTGTCTGCTCTTGAGGAAGGAGTTGAGACTTAGAAACGGGGGAAAGGCCAGTCCCGTGGCCGGCCTTCATTGACCGCCACGATCCTGACTCTCTTTCCAGGTGCAGAGCACTTCGTGTGTGATGAATGATACAGAAACATACCCCTGGCAGCCAGCTGGCCCCTCACCAGATCTCTGTAAACACCAGCCAGAGGCGGCTCTGGTCCTGCGCCAGGCTGGAGACAGCCGGAGCCAACCTCGCGGCTTCCGACCCCCCGCGTGGGACGACTCATACCTCTCCAGCTGCGTCTCAGCTCCAGACACGGGCGGATGGACTCTCTGTGATTTTCCATCAGAGGCTCTCGGAAGGAAATGTCATTCTGTCTCCTCCCTCTGCCTGTCTCTGTTTGCCTTGGCAGAGAACCGCCTTGTGATCCTCTCTTCTCCGCTCTCATGTCTTTGATCTGGAATGCTGTCTCCTGCTGCTTACCTCTTGTCCTCCGAGACCTAACCTGCCAGCATGGCTTTGATAGGAATGACAAGAGGATGTGTTAGGTCGTTTGAGGGGAGTCTAGAGGAGCAGTTCTGGGTCTTAAAACTTACTTCCCCCCTCCTTCCAAGCTGGGTTACAGTGAAGTAGTCTAGGGAAGAGAATCTGTATCAGTGAAATGTTTAGTCCAACGACCGAGGGGCCATGTTGCTATATTTTGTGGCTTTTGAGACCCAGACATTTTCACCCTTTAGCACGTGAGAATTTGGGAGGTAATTTCCTCATCACATATGTCACACCTTAATTGGCAATGGTCTTCTGATTGTTTGTTTGGCAGTAGATAAAATAATGGTATCACTCACAATAGGTGAAATCTTAGATTTGATAAAACAGAGAAGTTAATTCTGGCAAGACATGTCTCAATGTGTTTTATAGGACTTTGTTTTTTTAAAGCAGTTTAGGATTACAGCAAATTTGAAAGGGAGGTATGGAGATTTCCTATACATTCTTTTCCTCCCCATATACATAACCTCTCTCATTATCAGCATCACCCTCTGAAATGGTACATTTTTTACCAAGGATGAACGTACACTGACACATCATAATCACTCCAAGTCCACAGTTGACCTGAGGGGTCACTCTTGGTGTTATATATGCTATGGGTTTGAACAAATATATAATAACATGTATTCATCAATATAATATCATATAGGGTATTGTTACTACCTTATTCGTCATCCCCTCCCCCACCCCAGGTAAACCACTGATCTTTTTATCGTCTCCATAGTGTTGCCTTTTCCAGAATGTTCTATAGTTGGGATCATACTGTATGTAGCCTTTTTCAGATTGGTTTATTTCACTTATATGCATTTGTTTCCTTCATGTCTTTTCATAGCTTGGTAGCTCATTTCCTTTTAGCACTGAACAAATTTTATTGTTGGGATATACCACAGTTTACTTATCCATTCATCTACCGAAGGACATCTGGTTGCCTGCAGATCTGCTTTAGCAATTATGAAGAAAGCTGCTATAAACATCCATGTGCAGGCTTTTCTGTGGACATACATTTTCAGCCCCTTTGAGTAAATACCTGGGAGCGTGCTTGCTGTGTCATCCGATAAGAGCATGTTCAGTGCTGTAAGAAGCCACCACTGTCTTCCCAGGAGGCCGCACCCTTCTGCATGCCCACCAGTGGTGAGTGAGTGTCTCTGTGGTTCCATTCCTCACCAACATTTGGTGAAGCCAGTGTTCTGGGTGTGGGCCATTCTAAAGCTGGCGCTTCCCTGGTGTCTCAGTTGTAAAGAATCCACCTGTAATGCAGAAGATGCAGGTTCGATCCCTGGGTCAGGAAGATGCCCTGGAGAAAGAAACAGCAACCCACTCCAGTGTTCTTGCCTGGGAAATGCCATGGATAGAGGAGCCTACAGTCCGTGGGGTTGCAAAGAGTTGGACATAACTGAGTGATTAAACCATCACCACCAAAGCTGGGTAGTGGTACCTGATCACTGTTTTAATTTGCTTTTCTCTGATGACAAGTGATATGGAGCATCTTTCCATATGTTTCTTTGCCATCTGTATACTTCTTTGATGTTTATGAAGGTCTTTGGCCCATGTCCTAAGCGTGTTGTTTGTTTTTTTACTGATTTTTAGAAGATCCTTGGACATTTTGAATCATGCTTCTTTATCAGGTATCTCTTTTGCAAATTTTTTCCCCCAGTCTGTGGTTTGTCTTCTAATTCTCTTGATAATGTCTTTCACAAAGCAGGGGTTTTTAGTTTTAATGATGTTCAGCTTATCAATGATTTCTTTCATGGTTTGGGTCTTTGGGCATCACCATGCTCAAAGTCATTTAGGTTTTCTCCTATGCTATCCTCTAAGAGTTTTATATCTTTACATTTTACATTTATGAATATGATCCATTTAGAGTTAATTTTTGTGATGTGTGTAAGATCTGTGTATATATTAATTTTTTTTTCTACATTTTTTGGTATCCAGTTGTTCTGGCACCATTTGTTGTAGAGACTACCTTGCTTCACTGTATTACCCTCTCTCTTTTGTCAAGGGTCAATTGACTATATTTATAGGTAACTTGTTCGTCCAGGTGGACTAATCCATGAGCCAAAAATTCTATCATCAACCTATTTAAAAATGTGTCCATAATTGTAATTATTATTTTAAATCTATGTAGATAGGTTTATATAAAGGAGGCAAGGAGCCAGGAGTGATAAAGGCTGGGTTCTGGTACAGCTTTTGCTTTAACTTATTGTAAACCTCTGCTCAAGTCATTGCCTTTTAGCCTCTCCTTTCTTGTCTGCATAATAACGGGTTTGCAACAGTGGCAAAGACTGACTTCAGAGCCGCCTCTTCGCCCCATAGGTCATCACTCAGAGCTGAGGGAATGGGAGCTACTGCAAATGCAGTTAATGCCTCCTTAGAGTGAAGGTATGTCATAGTGACTCGTGAGAACCCATCACACTAGACATAACAGTTTTCTCGGTAAGATAATAATCCCATAACATGAGTATCTAAGTAGGGTAAATAGTTATTGAGTGCCAACTGCTACCTGCTTTTAAACAAACATTGTTTAGCTTATTTTCTTATTTGGGCTGCACAGGTGCTTCGTTGCTGCATGCGGGCTTGCTCTAGCTGTAGCGAGCAGGGGCTGCTCTCGAGTTGCAGAGCAGGGGCTTCTCTTGTTGCAGAGGGTGGGCTCTAGGGTGGGCAAGTTTCAGGAGCTGTGGCTGGTGGTCTCTAGGGCGCGGGCTCAGTAGTTCACGGTGCATGAGCTCATTTACCCTTTGGCACGTGGGATCTTCCTGGGCCAGGGACAGAACCCCTGTCCCCTGCATTGGCAGTAGAATTTTAACCACTGGATCACTGGAGAAATCCTGCTGTCTGCTTATTATGGGTTGAATTGTGTCTTCCCCTGAGATGTCAAAGTCCTAACCCAGGGTGCCGATAGATATAACCTTATGTGGGAATAAGAACTTTGCAGATGATTGATTTAAGATGAGGTCATTGGTGTGAGCCCTAATCTGGTGGAAATTTGGATACAGAGACCAACACACACACGCAGGGAGAAGGCTACTGAGGGTGAAGGTAGAGACTTGGGTGATGCATCTACATGCCAAGGATCCCCAGGGACGGCAGAAAACCACCAGGAGCTGGGAGAGGGGCCTGCCGTAGATTCTCCCTCGCGGTCCCTGGTCCCGCCACCGTTTGGACTTCTAGGCTCATGAACCGTGAGACAGACAGTCCATATTTGTCATTTAAGCACCTCAGTCTGTGGTACTGTGTTACGGTAACCTAGGAAACTAACACATCCTTATAGACACCTTGAATCATTCAGTCATCACAGTGACCCTGTTCTCTATTCTCAAGGTGCAGCGCTGAGAACAGAATGCAAACATCCTGTGCTTGTGAAGGTTACATCCTAGTGAGAGAAGCCAGATGAAAACAAAGATATCACATATCAGATATGAGACAGGTAACAAAAAGAAGCTGGGCATGAAAGAGACAGAGAGGGGGTGTGGAGGAGGGCCTCGGGGGTTTACTGATTTGTACAGGGGAGTCTGACAATGTGTCGAAGGAGTCCTGAAACCACCTGCAATCAACAGGAAGGCACACTCCCAGTGCCCAGCCCAGGGCCCTTATTAGTCCAAGTTGGGGTGAAGCTTAGACAGGGAAGTGTGTGCCCAGGGCCATGCAGACAGCAAGCGGGGGGGTCGACATGTGAGCCCAGGAACTCTCACCGCAAGAGCTCACCCTCTCAGTTACCACAGTGGTGTTTTGGCCACTCTTATCTCTGTTGATTTTATGTTCTCTTCAGCTAGGTTCTATTTCCAGAGTTACTACAATTAGGCAGGCAGAGTATTTAGTTGACAGTCCTCCCAGAAGCAGTTTCTAGTGATCTGGCATCAATGTAAGGGTGAATGTCAAGTGACCTTACTCCTCTTAGAGTCATTGATATCTTTCTTTTTGAATGTCCATAAGATATTGTTTTCTTTTGTTACAAATTTATTTTATTGAAGTATAGTTGATTTACAATGTTGTGTGAATTTCTGCTAGATGGTAATATGATTCTGTTATACATATGCATATATTTATTCTTTTTTAGATTCTTTTCCATTATGGTTTATCTCAGGATATTGAATATAGTTCCCTGTGCTACATAGTAGGAATTTGTTGTTTATCCATCTTATATATAATATAATAACTTGCATCTACTAATCCCAAATTCCTGATCATTGATGTCTTGATAAAAGTCATTAAGGATGTGTTTATTTAGAAATTATTGAAGGTGAATGAAAAGATTTAATTATAAATGTTTTTTGCAGTATAATTTATAATAGCAAGATCAGTTAACATGGTGGAATATTATACAACCATCATATCTTGTTGTTAAATGAGAACTTTAACTGTTTCTTTAGGTCTTACATCCTTTTGGGAATATGATAAAAGCAGCCAATTCCCTTCTTGGGAAGAAAGCACATTTTTACCTACATAAAAATTTGTAAGTAATTTCACAGAATTCATTGACTGTATGAAGTCTATGCATAGACTCAGGTTGAAGACTACAACTCTATAGTAAAGAGCAATTATCAGTGGCAGGGGAAAACGGTCAGAAAAACATATATGTGCATTGGCATATGAGACTGGAAAGATATATATCAAATTGGCTCTGAGAAAGATCTGAGATGTCAGATCTTTGGACATTTCAGAGTTTCTCTAGTTTTCCACTAGGAAAATATGTCACTTCAATATGATTTAAAAAATTATTTTAACATGGTGTAAAAAATACATAGGAGCCTTAGAGAAGTCCCCAAGAAATGCAGGAAAAATGGAAAATGATAAAAAGTGCAAAGGAATAATAATATGCCTTTGGTAATAGGCCCTCCTAGAGCCACACATCCTGGAATGCAAAGTCGAGTGGGCCTTAGGAAGCATCACTACGAACAAAGCTAGTGGAGGTGATGGAATTCCAGTTGATCTATTTCAAATCCTGAAAGATGATGCTGTGAAAGTGCTGCACTCAGTATGCCAGAAAATTTGGAAAATCCAGCAATGGCCACAGGACTAGAAAAGGTCAGTTTTCATTCCAATAGCAAAGAAAGGTAATGCCAAAGAATGCTCAAACTACCACACAATTGCACTCATCTCACATGCTAGAGAAGTGATACTCAAAATTCTTCAAGCCAGTCTTCAACAGTACATGAACTGTGAACTTCCAGATGTTCAAGCTGGTTTTAGAAAAGGCAG